AGGAGAGGAGAGGAGAGGAGAGGAGAGGAGAGGAGAGGAGAGGAGAGTTCTGTGTGTTTTTTAATGCTGCAGATGCTATTTCTCGATCATCTGAATTTCAGTGCTGTACATGCAAGCATTATATCAGATTGGATAGAACAAAACACCTAATGAAAACATTTTGTTGTTGGGATCAAGTTTCCCATCCATAAAAGGACATCTATAAAGCTTCCAAGTAAGTTGGTTAGCTGTGGGGTTTCTGTGCTCCAGGATAACACCAGTACCACCAACAAATAGTTGTTAACTGGACATCTGGTTTTGCAATCCTCACAGATTGAAGAAGAAGAGCACATGTGAAAGCTTAAACACTTTAAAAACAGCATCTGTACAAGAACTTTAATAAACCATGAGCTCTTAATAATCTCTAAATAGCCTGACTAAAATGTTTTGGAGTTTTTTTCTAGGAAGACAGTAACTATTTTTTGATGCAAATAAGCAACCAAATTTAGGGTTTTATGTGTTTTTACTGTCAGGAATAAATGTGTTTCATTACACTGCCACATCAGCCTGAGTTTCTCTCTGGTCCACGTCTTGCTTACCCTTTATGTTTCTGTTCTTCTGACTTGTTGCACAGATGAAAAACAGGGAAACTCTGTTTCTTGTTCATTCTTGTCTCCAAAATGAGTCTGGATCTAAGTGGAGGTGATCATCACCTGAGCTCATCCCAATTCTTCAACTCTACTTTGTCACCAAGCTAGCCTGTGCTTCTTCCTTTTGGAATTCCACAACCAAATACTACACAGGGAAACTCATGGAGAGCATCTTAGTATTTTTTGGGGGGAGGGCCATGGTTTGCCTCCTCTGCATTCTTGAAAACAGATCTTTAGAAATGTTTATAAAAAGCTTAACAGGATGCACAACATTGCCTCTGGTAAAAGCGTCAGAATGAGACCATTTTCTGGGACGTGGCCTAGGCTAGAAGCCAACCAGGAAAGGGAAATTGTGCATGTTTAAGCAATTCTATTTTATTTTTTTTTTTAATCTTTCAGGATCTCAAAGATGCAGTTAGATGTTCTAGAGCAGTGCATTGCACCTACCTCTCTTTTTGAGAATAAGTTTGAAATCTTTAGCAGAGTTCCTACTGCTAAAACTCATCTACTTCATCTGGCATAGATGCAGACATCTCCAAGAGACTGCCCAAAAAATTCTCCAGTTACGTGTCAGAACAAAAATATCCAGTTCAGACTAGTGGAGAATGCCAGGAAGTACATTCTTCCAAGTTTGAACTAAAGCTTACGCAAGGTTCCTTCTAC